AGAGCGCTGACTTCTCGCTCCATGTTGGTCCTGCAGTGACAGAGATACAAACAGAGGCAGTGAGTGAAATGCAGTCGTGGAACAAACTCAACCTTCAAACTTCCTCCACTAACACTAGTTTTAAACCAAAGGTTGAAGTAGTTCCTTTTCAGTCAATACACTCGGTACAACACACGTGCTATGGGATATCATGTCCTCGCGTGTCCTGGCTGAGGAAACCTTTATTCACGCCTTTAAGGCAGAGGACCTGTGATGACGTGTGCACAGCCCCACATGCAAACATATCCCCCTGCCATCACAGTCACCCCTCAGTTATTACACTCTTTGGGATCTTACAAAACTTCAAACGATTCGTCGACTATTAAATTAGTTGTTGACAATGATGTAATTTAAAACGATGTAATCGTGACTAGTCGACTAATCGTGGCAGCCCTACTTGTGACATGTGCAATGACAATAAAGTTGAATTCTTTTCTATACTATTCTAACCACAATAAAGAGCAGAGCTACAGGTAAGCTAACTGAGAGTGACTGGGGTTCAAACGTCAGGAACAGCGCTCATGACGGTTCTTTCCCTCGTGCACGAGCAAAACAAAGAGCTCTGGTGACTTGCGTCTTGCTCTTGCCATTGTAGTAGAGTTGTCTTGGCATTCCAGCAATAGGTTTATGCTAGACAAACCTATCAATAAGTTTCCTTGTGTGATTATAGATGATAAATTAAACTGGAAGTCGCATATAAATCACATACACGACACAATTTCAAGAAGGGTTTCATTTTAGTAAAGTAAAACACATTCTGGACTAGGAATGGGTACCGGTATCCGGGGCCATAATGGCACCGGTTCTGACATAAACTGTAGTAACCAGACCGAAAAGCAGCGCACATTTCGGTGCTTTCTTTTTTTCTTGAGACATCATACACTTTGGATTCTAGCCAATCATTTTACCTTTGCAAGGATAGTAGGCGGACCCAGGTACGTTCCTTTAGAGCAGAGCTACAGATTAAAAATGCCCAAGGCGAAGCTGTCAAAAGTCATGCTGTACTTCACAACAAAAGATTCAAACTCAGCAGCCTGCAACAAGTGCTTTAAGGTGATACTGTGCAAAGGAGGTAAAACCTCGAATCTGATGAAACACCTGGCGATGCATAGCGCTTTTTTAAAAGCAGAGAAATGCACTGTATTTGACAGCTTGCTGCAAGACCGAGCACCAAGCAGGTGTGGTGCCTGTTATCGGACCCTAAGTTAGCAACATCCCCCAAGAACCCGAAGAGGAGAGTCCTGGAGGGAAGGTAGTCAGAACTGAGGGGATCGAACTACGAGAAGGCAAGATTGCAGACATAGAGAGCAGCAAGTACCTGGTGATCCCACAGGCAAATGGGAACCATGAAGAGGTCGCTAGAAAAGCTGCAACCACCAAGTACCTGCAGAGGGTCAGGCAAGTCATGAGGAGTCAGCTGAATGGTAAGAATAAGATGTGGGCTATCAGCCCTGCCCGTGATCAGGTATCCTGCTGGGGTCTCCTGACCATGCATGGAGAGTTTCACCCCAAGTCCAACACCCTGAGGCTGTACGCTAAGTGGAAGGAAGGAGGCTGGAGATTGGTGAGTGTCAGCACCATGGTCCAGGAGAAAACAAACATCCATGAATACATCAGTAAGATGGCCCCAACTGATTGCGTGCTCAGTGAATACCTCAGGCAGCAGAAACCCAAGAATGAGGAGGAAGAGGAGGCACCATCATGGAAGGAGAGGCCGCTACATGGCATATACCACTGGCAGATAGCGGAGGTGGCTGATATCCAGAAATCCTACCAGTGGCTGGACAAAGCCGGACTGAAAGACAGCACAGAGGCACTAATCATGGCAGAAAAGGAACAAGCCCTGAGCACAAGATTCATTGAGGCCGGGGTCTATCACTCCAGACAAGATCCCAGGTGCAGGCTGTGTAAAGATGACCCTGAGACAATCCAGCCCATATCTGCAAGGTGTAAGATGCTAGCAGGCAAGGCATACATGGAACGCCATAACCAAGTGGCCAGCATGGTATACAGATAAATCTGTGCAGAGTATAACCTGGAAGTCCCAAGGTCAAAATGGGAGACGCCCCGTAGGGTGGAGGAGAATAACCGAGCTAAGATCTTGTGGGACTTCCAGATACAGACGGGTAAAATGGTGGCGGCTAACCACAGTGGTGGTAAACAAACAATTCAATTCAATTTTATTTATATAGCGCCAGATCACAACAAAAGTCACCTCAAGGCGCTTTATGTTGATACATAGAAAAGCCCAACAACCATATGACCCCCCAGGGCTCTAGAGTGTGACCGATTTGGTCGCAAATGCGACCAAAGCTTTCAGTGGTGCGACTAAAAAAAAATATTTGGTTGCACAAGTGCGACCAACTGTTTCGGTAACAAAAAAAAAATCTCTGCAACTCTCCGTGTGGTCAACAACAGACACACATTATGCCCCTATCGTGGACTAAACCAATCAGAGATAGTCAGGGGCGGGACCTCTCTGATTGGCCGTGGTCCAGTTGAAAGTGCAGGTGGAAGAGAGAGGTGAGTAGCTTGATATCGATTCATTAAATCCTGAATCGACTTTTAAATATAACTGTGTTTTGCCAGAAACGCCAGATTCTCAGATTAAAGCTCACAAAACTATTTCAACAACCACCAAACAGCAAATGAGAGCAGGTACACGGATTCCACACAAAGACGTAAACACAGACGCCGACGCATCAGAATCAGCTTTGTCTTTCTCGGCTTTCTCACCCGACGGCCCGTAGACGGACACGCTGTCGGAGCTAGCGATTCTGATGCCGGTCAGCTCTGTGTTTACGTCTTTTTTGCGCTGATTCTGAGCTGCAGGTTTTGTCTCTCTCCAACCAAAATCGAGAGCTTATATTTATTTCACTGCATCTATTAGGTGTCGATAATGTTGATCGTGGTGGCAATACCTTCCTCAAATTGTTGCGTCGCACCATGTAAGAAGACCATCAGAAGTCGGCCATCTGATACAAACTTTAGCGTTCTTCTTATATAGGTTAAGCGTGGTCATGTGTACGACAGACAGTCAAACTTATTATAGGTCAATGCTCTATCGAAACAAAAAAACAATGGTGTTGCTTGATTTCTACTCTAATAATCGCTATGCAATTCTATTCTATGATTAATCTTAGATACACATATGTTTATTCCACCTATTCTTCACAGACCATTTGAACAACTTGAGCTACAA